CCAAACCGAACTCAAGACATCTCGCTCACCACTCCAACACTTCGCTTCCGAAACACCAAGCCGACCAAACGTACCTGACGCCAAGGATGTCCGTATCCAAGGGCGACGCACCTGACTGATTTGGGATCTGACGCCTGACAACCGCACTTCAAACGGCCTCCTGCTACCGCCACCTGCCACCGTTGTTACTAGCCGAAGAGACGGCTCCGACAAAAGGAGCAGTGGCRGTTCTGTCCGGCCAGAGGAAATGACTTCCGAACTGGCAGGAGTTCAGAAGTAATCATGCCCGATCTGACGGAAGCATGGAAATGAGTGCGCGAGGTGGTTATAAAAGGCTCCTACCCCCCAGGAACGAGGTATGCTAACTTTTGCGCTATCTGGTCTATCTTGCCTTTGAAAGACTCTAACTTGAGCTTCGGAGCCCTTACGCCGGGTTCTCCCCGGAGCTTCTCTTCTCCCTCCGTTTCAGGTCCCTGCCACCCGGTTCAGAGGCAAGATCATTGACAGCTAAGATCGGCCGAATTGTGCATCATCAAGTATCCTTGAATGTTGATGGTGAGATGGGAAGTGTTATTAGAGACGAAGTTCTGGCTGAACTACAATTGAGAGATGAAGGCTCCATGAGGGGGTAATTAGAAAACTTCTATTGTTGAGATGCATGCTCATATTAGTCAAAAGAAAAAAGGAAGATGTGGAAGAAGATTAAGGCCATGTTTGGGAGTGTTTAAAAATAAGTGCTTATTTGGGCTATTAAGCACTTATTGCTCTTTGGGAAATAAGTCTGAAATAAGTGTTTATTTTAAAAATAAGGACATATTATTTAAGCCCAAATTTCTAGCTTTTTTTAATTATTTATTTCAATTTTTTCCTTCCAAAATTATCTATAGTTGAATTTTAAATACCACTTATAAAACTATTCTGATTTGAATTTTAAAAAGTACTTTCGTAAAAGTGCTTTTGCAGTACTTTTATAAGTCTTTTCAGAAAGTACTTTTATATAAGTGCTTGCATAAAAGTAATTTAGTAAAAGTACACTTACAAAAGTACTTTCACAAAAGTGTTTTTATAAAAAAAATAATAATTTAGTAAAAGTGCTTTAATAAGAGTATATTTTGAAAATTCGAAAGAAAATAAAAGACAAAATAGTCACAATGCTTATTGAAGAAGAAGACTACCAAACGTGCCAAATGCAAATAAGTGCTTATTCAAATAAGCATTTATTTTTAATTTAAGCACTCCCAAACATGGCCTAAGGCTGCATTTGGCATTCCTTATTTAAGGATTTATCTCATTTTTACAATTAAAATACCTCTTTGAACACTGAGTTTGCAACAACAAAAAGCAGATGTGTCCTTAAAATAAGGAATGTCAAATGCAGCCTAAGAAGGGGAGAAAAACAAGTTTTAATGGTTTTAGAAATGTTTAAAGACACATGCCACATCATATGTTGACAAAATGCTAAATAATAGACTAAAGTATTCAAATCTAAAAGTATAATATACCTAATTGTCACGAGTGAGAGTAGGGGTGAGCATTCGGTTTATTTAGTTAAAAACCGAACCGAATAAACCGAACCTGTTAAAACCAAATTAAAAAAATTGAAAATCGAAACCAATTACAATAAAACCAAAATAATCGAACCAAAATTTTCAATTCAGTTATTTCGGTTAAAAATCAAATTTAATTAATATATATATTTATAATATTATATATTATAATATATATTATGAAATTTAGTTTCATTATAATACATTGTATATATAAATATATAGCATATTATATATTATTATATTATATAATGAATTTTAGTTAATTCAGTTTTTTTAGTTAACTAGATTTCTAAATCTATAAACCGAAACCAAAAACCAAAATTACTAAAAGTCAAATTAACCGAACCAAATAACCCAAAACCGGAAAAAACTAAAATCAAAATTTTTGATTCGGTAATTCGGTTTTAACCGAATAATGTTCACCCCTAAGTGAAAGTGTGGGCCTAATGTTGTGTTTGGTTTAAACAAAAAGGTCAGGAAAAGAACTGAAACTTGTACCAAACACAACCTTTATGTCACAATCTCCAAAGTATAGGGTAGTTCCATCTTCTATGTGATCTACCATTAATAAGGTAGTATTTGGCAAGCCTTTTTGTTTGGTCTTTTGGGTTTTTCAAAACTTTTCTATTTGGCAATAAAGACGATAAACCAGAAAAACTTGCCAAACGTAACCTAATTTAACAAAGCCATTTCAACAAGTAACTATTAACGTTTAAAATTAAAATTTGGGTAAGTTACAAGAGTACCATCTTTGGAGAGCTGGATGGGTTTTGTATTCTTTTTCTTGTTGTTTATTACTTTGTTTGTACTTTTTCCTTTTTATTTGTCTGTAATTTTGTACCTTTATTGTCTTTTCTCAATTTCCTTGTTTTGTTTTGTTTGCATTGAAGTATTTTTCTTTTTTATTTGCTGTATTTTCTACAATTTCCTGCTTTTCCTTTTATTTTTCTGCTTTTTTATTGTATTTCATGAAATTTCGACAACATAATCTCATAAAAAGATACAAAGGCAGTTTGGGTTTTAGAAATGGTTAAACAAGCACTGATGGAATTGGAATGCAAACAGTGCCAGTGGGGGCATACTGCTAGACTCTAAAAGTTAAGGGCGGACCTTTGTTGAAAATCAAAGTTTTGGGGTTATCCAATTCCCCAAGTACACAGATGGGTGACAGTCTGTAATTTACCCACAAAATTTTGACCGGTGTGGATTTGCTGCTAGAAACTTGGAGAGATTCCTTTAAATTTCAGGGCACGGATTAGCTGTATAAGGGCTGTTTTTAGGATCTGCCTTCGGGATGATGGATTTGCCAGCTCTACCCAGAAACGCCTAAAAGCAGGGTAAAAGGAAGAAAACTAAACTAAAGAAGCTTGTATCTTCGTCGCTACTTGGCGTCTTACGGAAGTAACGGAACAAGATACATAGAAGAACTAAACTAGCTGCCACCGGTTACTAAAAGGTTCCAAAAACCAATTAAAAATTACAAGAGTTGTCATGGCCGACATTTGATTCAAGTGTGAATTAGCTAAAAGCCACTAATGATGAACGGGGAGAGCTTTGGGGAGGGGTTCGTGGGTAGAGATAGGAATTGTGTGGAAATTGCAATCCACCGAGATCAAACTGTTGTTTTCTTCGACAAGGATGGTGTTGATGAGTTGCAGTAAAATCCTTTCAAGCTCCTCTCCATCGCTCCATTCATGGACCTCTGCCTTGACGAGCAATGGATTGTTATGAATCAGTTCCCAGAGTGGAAAATTCTTCCGGGGCATAACATATTCTCCTTCGCCGAGCCTCAGAGCTGGGCAGAAATCACCCTTTCCATCTCCAAGGTAGACGAATCTTTTCTTCCCCTCTGCCGAAACAGATTCTCGTATCCTTTCAATCACTAGACCCTGTTAAAAGAAAAAAAAAAAAACTGCTTAGTCCACAAGCGTCAAAATTCAAACACCAGACAGAAGTCCGAAATTCAAAGAAAACCCAAGTCATTTCACTTGTGACCAAAGTTGTAAATCAATTTAAAACTACAAAAGAAATACAGATTCTATCACACTTTCAATTGCACAAGTGGGCTCCATTAACAAAGAAAAACAAATTAAGCCAGTTTTTTTATAGCTTGATTGGTTAACATGTTACTGTATCTTCGCATCTGCCAAAACCCATCAACGTGACCATGACTAAGGCCCACCTTAGCAGAAAGACAACTGTTTCTAGAGTTGTCGTGATCAAATTGTTCAAATTGACAAACCAATTAAGTAAATAATTAAATAATGTTTACCTTGCACATGTTAGGAGGGCAAGGAGAATGAGGAGATGAGGTGAAATCATGGAAAGGGAAGATCCTGAGCTTCCCCTCGTCATCAACATAACTTGGGTTTGTGTTAATCTCTGTGAAACAATCCATCAGCCCATGATGCTTCAAGATGGTGTCGATGAAGAACGAATTCGCATCGCTCACAATTCTCAGGTCACATCTGAAATATTTTGAAAAAAGATACGCGTTAAAATGTTCCTTTTTTATTACTTTTGGGTTGCTAGAAAAATAGTTCTGATAATTAAAGTTTTTTCTTTTCCCTTCTTCCCTCAACAAAAGAAAGATGGAAATAGAAATCATGCAGTAAAAATTACCCTAATGCATGGGCAGATTTAATGGCTGTGATGATGTTGGGATGCAATGGAGCCCGTCTCAAGCAATCTGCTATGTCTTCAATCGTCTTTCCCTGAGAGTGAAATTCGCTCATCATTCTATCCTGCAAACATTAACAGAGCAAGAACAATTAGTCTCTGTTTCATTATTAAAGTACGAACAAAGAAACCCACAGAAAAAGAAAAAGAACGAAGAATGCCTCCCATAGACCCCCTAAAAATGTCCCTCTTTGAAAGAAACAGAAGGTAGGCTTGGAGCTCTGATTTAAGGATTCATTCAACACCCCATCAGTCCATCAACAACAATGTTGAGGGAAAGAAACAGAAAAACCAAAGAATGGGAAATCACATTCAGAAACACGGAACTAGTAATGGGAAATCACAAACAAGAGTAGTAGAAAAAGATGCGCACCATGAGAGGGTTCCAAGGCATGGTGGGCAAGAGCTGATCGAATAACTGGGTCGCACCCATCTCGTCGATGACCCAATTATCACTATCGCAATCGATAATCGTCTTATCGAAATCGAAAACGACGACGACTGCAGCCATATTCGCACTGGTATCCCGACGTACCAAGAGCGGTTTTCCGGGCTAAAAAGAAACGAACGCTTGATCGATGATCAATGCAGGAAGAAAGGGTAAAAGGAGAGAGCTTGTGTCTTGAGTTGGTTGCAGACAAGAAAGCAATGGAGAGGCGGAGGTATATATAATATAGGAGACAGACTTGTGCTTGACAACGGAAGGGAGGTACAGCCGGACAGGTCTAGCAGGAGAAGGAATCCGTTCTTTGGTGCCCCAGCCACCATGGAATTGCGTGTTTAGTGGCGTCCGATTCAGAGACTCCGTGCTTTTTCGTGGGACTGGCTGGCTTCTCAGAACGTGTGTTCTGGTATATGTCTCAGATTTTCGTTCAACAGTATAACAATCTCTTAGCCGTTGGATTTTGATATGGATTACGTGATAAAGAGGTGGCATCTTAATCACATGGTTGTGACATCCGTGTGAAGATCAAAGAAGAAAATCGGGAATATAGGAATATTCGCTGGGATTATGACACGTGTCAGGCAGTTGTAGCAAAGAGAGGCGAATATTCTGTTCTAGTTCCTTCGTCGATTCTCGGCGTGTAACTGCAACTAGGACTCTAGGAGTTCGGAACCGCGCGCGCAAGTATTTGGGGGAATGTTGTTTCTATTTCCTGATGGATAGAAATAGATAGATAGATAGGGATTAGGGAACTAGGGAAAAGGGATGTGATTGGGCCGCTTCTTCTGGATGGAGTGGGCCCATAACTAAATGATGGATCCAGTTGATGAGGAATATAATAATATAAGGCTAAGAGCATCCGTTCGTTGGAGATGGAATTTTTATGATCGGATGACTGTGGGAGCATCGGAGAATATGTGCCCCCACAGTTCCTGCATGTTGGATTGGCAATTACTTAATTAATTAATGATTATCCATTCCATTATGTTTTAATTTTAAGGTGATGAAACTTCGGAGATGTGGATATGGCAGGGGAAGGGAATCTGGACCGTTGACGCCTGCCTTGTTTGAAGTAGGATGGAAGGAAGGAGAATAGGAAAACCGTTGGATTTGACTGGAGTTAAAAGAGTAGGACTGTAGGAGAGAAGGAAACGTGGGAGGCTTCTTTCTGTTCTCTCTATGCTCTCTTCCATTCCAATTTCCAAAGCTGTTTTATAACTTATAATGATACCGTTGGGAGAAAACACACACAAGACACAATGGCGCATGTGATTTCAGTTCCAGTGGGATATGTAAATCCGACGGATGAAAATGAGGGAACCCTTAACGGATCACATGTGTGATATGTCACGAGCGAGTGATCATAGGCAGTGGTCCCAGCACCAAGCTAGAGCCTAGACCGGGCATTGGCATCCAATATTATGGGTACAGGTAGTGGAGTGCCATCTGTGACACCATCCACTCTATAAAGTGAATGAATGAATAAAGAAAGAAAGGTGATTAGATGACATTAGGAATAGGATCGATCATCCTTTCTATCTTTGGTGGGATGAGAAAGAAAGACAGAGAGAGAGTCAGTGAGATCACGAGAGTGAACCACGGATATCATGTTACCCTTCTTTTTCTCGGGCTGCAGTGCTGGACTGAACTTGATTATGCTTCCCTTTTGTTTTTTATATGACGCTTGGTTTTCTTATTTTTTTTTTCAATTAGAAAGAAAAAATAAAAGGAATCATTCTGTGATGCATATCGTCGAACACAAAGCAACCATTAAGCCTATAACTAGCAACGCTTTCTCGTTTTTGTGCATCGTAATCTATGAGCTACAATGGTCAGAGTCCATGAACCGGTGATTCGGTGAACGTGAGGTTTATACTTTCATTCTACGCCTATCAAATTTGATTCATGACTCGGACCATGTTCCTGAGAGCACCCCATATATCCATTTTGTTGACACCGGTCCAGCAAGCAATTAAATGGTGTTAAATAGGCTGAAATAAGATAACGTGCACATGATCGTCAACATATTGACATCTTCTTAATTTGCTTGTGTTAAAATCTTCTGTACCTAAAAGATAACGTGCACACTTTTTTGTACCTCAATCTCTTTCGTACCTAACAATTTAATAGACCATGGTAGATTAGAATATTTATAAAAAATTTAAATCTTAAGACCTCAAAAGCTCGTTATATCTTCTTCTTCTCAGTGCCTTTCGCCAAGTATTGCCAGAAAAATTGTCTTTGATGAATCCGGATATGTCCACGTTCAACAGCTTGGGCTGTCAACAGGACTTCCCTGCATGATTAGTTCCATCCTTTAATTGTTAATTGGTGAACTTCACTGAAGCATTCCAACAAAACTAGGAGTTTATTTCGGCAATGGAAGGATCATCTGCCCATAAGGTGGTTGAATCATTCGAATCGTTAACACCTTGAGATCTATGCGTCTCATTGAGCTGTAGGCACCTTGTCCTTCTATTTTCGTGGAAAAAATATTTTTTAACCTCAATTTGCAAATTTTTATATTTTTTAAATAAAATATTAAAAAATATAAATTAAATATAAAAAATATATATAACATATCTAAAACATAATTATACATTATTTATTGATAATATACACACACACACTTAGCAGTGGCAATTGGGCGAGTTGGGTTGTGTTTGGTTTGGGTTGAGCTTCAACCCAACCCATCTAACCCGCCAACCCATTAACGACCCAATTATATAAAACTAAATGGGTTGGGTTCAACCCAAACCCATTTTAACCCAATCCAACCCACCCAAACCCATTAAACGGTCAGACTAGACCAGATCGTTTAAATCCATTAAACGGTCGGGCTTGGGCCTAAAGAACCGGGCCCGACTTTTTTCGAGTCGAGCTCGAGCTTTTTCAAAAAAACCCTGCCCAAGCCCGAGCCTGACTTGATACAATATATTAAATAATAAAAATATATTTTATTTTATAAAAATATATATGTACTATATTTTCCCTTTGTTCTTCTTCTCTTTTTCTTTCAAGTAATAATGAGATGTGTATTATTTTTGAGTTTTGAAGATTTTTAATATAAATAAAACACTTATATTGAATTAAAAAAGAAAAAAAATTATGTTTTCAAATTTCTGGCCGAGATCGGGCTTAGGCCTGAGTGTATTCTGTTGATACATATATAAAACTTGGCCCAAACCCGGCCCGGCCCATAAACAGATCTACCCACGACCTGGTGGAGAAAACGATTTAGCCTCTGGGTCGGTTTTAAAACAGTGTTTCAAACATGGGCAGCGAGCGTGGCTTTCTTATCCATCCATAATAAGATAGGAAGCCATTTCTCCTTCCATCCTTTAAGGGGAGTCTTCAGTTTGGTGTCAGCTTTTGTTCATCAGTTGTTTTGAACAACCACAAACCTGGGCCAAGCATAAGGTTTCCGTTTCCTTTGTTGTAATTCTTTCACATTCACACACAAAGAATTAGAGCTGTTCAATTGAAACCTAAATACTTTTTTCTGTGCATGGATGTTCATAAATCAGTTTTCACCATGTGGTTTTGGGAAGTGAGACATCCATTTCAATAACATCTTTATTGGGTTCTTAGTTCAGGAACAGGAAAAGAAAACAAATGACTAGAACATTCACATGTGGGTTTTTTTTTTTTTAATTACCACAAGTTAGATGTTTAATTGTCTTCCCTAGGAAGCCCAGTGGTTTTTGAGCTACAAAACCCATGGTTTCTCTTGTTTTGAAAGAATGATCAGAGAGATGTGAAGTGATGCATATCTTCTATTGCATTCTCATTCTCTTTCAAAGTAAACAAAGTTTCTCACCAGTTTTAGCCTAACCACACGAGTCAATATAGAAGCTTGGACAGTTTGCTCAAAAAATAAACCCACAATGACTCAATATAGAAACAAAATCAGCTACTTACTAGACACAGTAATCTCTCAAGGTCAAGTCTCACCAACTTCTTCTGTACATCAGAACCCTAAATGAATTGAAATTGAAGTCGAAATGGCCAAATGAATTGAAGTTGTCTCAGGTCATCAACACACTAAGGATTTAAAAAGATAATGCTCCGTGTGGCTTCAAACAAACGAACGCATTTGGTTCTCTATGGACTATCATGATCTTTTTACCAAGAGCTAATGTGGATTTTGATGAATTAAAATTACTTGGAAATTACCCTGTTAGACCAGACCAGACCAGACATGAAAGACCAAAGTTCACTGAATCTTTGCTTCACCACTTCAACCGCCATATCCAATCCGAGTTTGCAAAATGATGTTAATCTAATGGACATTACCTTCAATTCTCTGTCAAATAGAGCTTAAAGAGGTTATAGTGTCTCAGTTCATTGATCAATCCACCCACCATGGACTGGAGGGATGATGTGGTTGAAAGCCCATTTTTTCTTTTCTTTTCTTTTGATATTTTGGATGCCAATAGTATCTCAGTTCATTTGTTATATATTGGGATTGCCACATCAGCAAAAAATAAAAACATATTCTTGAACTCTGTTTTTGTTTTCTAAGGAAAAACAAGTTGGTTTTATTTTAAAAAACGATACATGTTTTAGAATCAACAAAAAATTGATTTTTAAAACAAAACAAATTTTCTGGTATAGAAATTATATGATTTATGGAACATATTGTTGAATAATCAAATGAAAACATGTTTTTGAAGCCAGATTAAGAACATGTTTTTTATTTCAGTTTTGAAAACAAAAAAATACTACACGAAAAACAATCTGTTTTCAAACAAAACTGTTTTAATTTATTTTTGGAACCGACAACAAGAAAAAAAAATTCACATTATAGAACACTTTCCAATTTTCTTTGCAGTCCAAATCTCACAACCTCGGTTTAATTTACTTCGCTAGACAACCCAAGAATTTTTGGGAGGAATAGGACTAATTTGGAGTACAAGCCAGATTCAAAACATGGCTAAAGCTAAAGGATCTCCCATCTGGTAAACAATGGGCTAGAGTAACTCTTTCTCCCAACCTTTTGAATATAAGTCTCATAAACACTCCACTAAAATGCTAATACACATTTTGCCTTGTATATTTTTTTCTATTTTGATCATATTTTTAATTCTTCATCGTGTGAAATATAAGCAAGACTGAGCGGTTACAGAAAAAAAAAATGATGAAAGGTTAAAAAATGCATAGGATTCAACTCAACAAAGCCATGTGTGACTATATGATACCTACTAATGATATAATTGTATTTGTTATGTTACGATAGAATTTGAGAGAATTGAGATTGACTATATAGTCTAAGAGTTTGAGTTTGAGTAAGTCTGAACTGTCTTAGCAGTATGATATAACACTATATTCAAGCAATGCAATTTATCAACATTACAAGTTGAAATCTATCATGGTAATAGAACTTATTTGACCAAATAGTTTAGTGTTCAATCCTCACCACTCCTATTATAATTATTTATTATTTAAAAAAAAAAGGTATGGGTGGATTTGTGCTTATCCACGTTTTATGGGCCAAATCCATTGTATTTAGACCTAGCAATTGGATTGGGTGGATCAGGTTTGGGTTGGGTCAAGACACTTTGGATGAATTCGGGTTGGGTTGAATTTCAAGTTGGATTGTCAAATGCTAGACCCTAATCCTAAATATTCGGGTTAGGATTGACCAATGAATCAATTCGTATCATCCCAAAAAAATAACTGAAACTTTAAAAAATAAAGAGAAAATACATGAAAAATGCCAAAATGAAAGAATTAACCTTAAAATTCCAAAGATAAAATAAAAAAGCTTGAATACTTAACAACTTAAAGAATAAACAATAAAGAGCAAAGACTAAATAGTAAAAATTAATGAGTGGAAACTTCTAACAATACATAAATAGTCTCAATTAGACCTAACAATCAGGCCAATGGGTTGACCCATGACCCAACCCAGTTTTTTCAAGGTAAGGTCTGGTCATTCTCAAATTCAAATAGTTAAATATGAGACCCTAACACTGTTTTTCGGGTTGGATTGGGTCGGATTCGCAAATTGGATCAACTTTTTGCCAAGTCTAATTGTATTGAACTCAAAAAGCTCACCATCACCTTTTCAACTGTCCAATTTCCGAGTTCAAACAAGGTCCTTACTCAACCAGTCACTCAGTCAGCATGATCATCAACCCCACCAGTTTCAAATCTAAAGTAAAGAAAAAAAGAGCACATCGTACTGATTGATGGGCTTCCAAATCCATTGTCAAATTATGGGCCTCTAATCATGTCCCTACTTCAATTTTCTTGTGCATGTATTTTTCTTGTATATTATTTCTTTATTTTTTAAATTTTTTTGCAATGTCAATGTATGCATCTGTATCAAAGACTATGGGGGCATTCTTTTTTTGGATTTTGAGAGGAGGAAAAGTTGGTCAATGAGATTTTGGTTCCCATTAACCAAGAATCCCATATTCTTTCTTCAGATTTTTGTGGGATGAAAAGGAAAGTTTATTTTCCTTGGTATCACTTACCCGGTACCCAATCTCCTAAGTGGATAGATAACTTTTTTACCTAAAGGGAAAGTTGCCAATACTTGAACGGAACAAAAATACCTTTTTTAATAAAAATTTTTGTGGCTCAAACGGTCATGTACCTTATTTACTTGAGAAATAAAGAACATGGGTAATTACAATTACCTAGCCAGAAAAGGTGAGTGTCAACAAACAATATTCCAGGTTTATCTGTGCAGAAAAAAATCTCCGCAGCATATCCCAGGCTGAGACGTGAACGTTGGGCGCCATCTGTAGGGTGCAGATGTGATCTCGTTCAAGCGAGAGAGGATTCAGGAGTCAATTGTCTTTCCAACAGATTTTTTTGCTTGTGGGTTAAATGTCCTTTATACTGTTTCGGTACAATTTTACTGTAGCATTTCATTATCATATGATCTTCCGAATCTTAATAGATAAAATCTCTGGCCCTATCATTTTGAATATTTATAATTCTGCAGTGGAAATCAAAAATCTGCATTGAGTCTGTCCGTAATTGATGCCAATTCATGGTGGGCATTGTGTGTGTATAGAATGGGATTTTTTTCTTATACTCTAACTCTAGGGACTACAATCACTCTTTATTAGATGAAAATACCTTGACAAACAATTTTACCCATGGAATGATTGCCTGTCATGGTTTTTAAAACCGAACTGGTCAGGGGTCCGGTTATCGGTTTGAACGATCCCACCATTCGACTTGAACGGTCAGCTCATTCTGACAAAAAAATAAAAATAATTAAAAATGATCAAAACCGTTCGAATGATTAACCAACCGATTCAACAGTTTGCTGAACAAAATCAACGGTTTTAGGGAAAAAAAGTGGTTTTGGGGGAAAACAGAACCGGTCAAGTGACCGGTTCCCAATTTTCAAGTCCGACCGTCCTATCCAGTCCTGTTTTAAAAACCATGTTGCCTGTATATCCTCCCGTTTCAGAGGTTGACGGCTTTTTGGAGAACAACTTAAACCAAACAGGCTTAACTGAATGATTTATTAGATTGTAGTTTTAATGGATAAAATCATTATCGATACCATATACGATTGTCCATTTCAGCTCATTCTCTCTCACATTGCATGATTGCATCCCAACCCCCCTTAGAATTTTTTGAAATTTTTAAACATGGGCCTTCAAACTAAGCCACAACCAATTTAGTTTCTAGCAGGAAACTAAAAGCAAACTCGCTCTCCCTGTAGAACATAAGATACTTGGGGCTTTTTGTAAACAAAAATCTTCCTTAAATACCAAATACTATCATGACTGTAGTTTGTTTTGGGGGATAAGAAAACAGCCTAGGCTGTTTGGGAGGCAGGTTTGTAGTCGGGCAGTCGGGCTGGAGTAGGATCAGGCTAGAAGTATTGGGCCAAAACCCACGTGGAAGAACAAAAATCCAAGCCCAGGTTGTTGTATAAAATTACAAGCTCAGTCCGTTCCGTTGCTTGTCTTCTTCTGCTAAAAATAATATATCAATTGTAAATCCTCTTTTACACCACAGCCCACCATTATAACGTGTCATGTGCAGCCCAAAGGTGCCTGGGCCGTTTTCTCAAAAACGGCGACAAGTTTTTTCCGCCGCAACCAGCTTGAGAGTTTAGCAATTAGCAGCAGCAAGCCAGCTGGCTTCTTCGGAATTCAAACACGCGCAACGGCTTGAGCGGTAGCGCACTCGGCACCATGGCAGACAACGCCTCCTACTCTATATATATTAGGGAAAATTTTCGATCAGTATCGTAATTTGGATGGAGTGACAATTTGGTCCCAAACTTAAAATGTGATAATTTAATATCCGAATTTTCAATTTGGGACAATCTGGCACCTGGCGTTAATTCATCATCAATCAAAGCCATTACGTGACATCAGGTGCAGTTTAAATAATTTTATAATATCAAAATTAATCTTTACGATAATATTTAGATTTTACCCTTTTCCTTTTTTTTACCGTATTCTCTTTCTCTTCATTTGGGTTAAAGGAACGACAGAAAAGGTGGTGTCCACTGACTGACCGTTTTTTTTCCCTCCTATACAATTGAATTCTAAAATCTATTACTCTACTTTGTGTTCAGTCCGTCATGGGGATAGATGGAAAGAACAAAGAGGTAGCTGAATCTCGAAAGACTCTGGTCACTTGGTCATTGCTAAGAAAGATGAACGTGAACCAAAAGAAAATGTCGGGGTTTACAAGGAAGCACACTCGATTCATCTACAACAGCGATGACAAGATAGAAAAAGAAGAAGAGGTTGCAAAAATGAAAAGTTTATCACCTGGTATCGTTCGTTTGAAGGGTATGCCTACTCTAACAGGGAAGCATCTTCGCATCCTTGAAGTAGAAGAGTAAAGAGGAGAAATGGGCTTTCGATGGCGAGCAATATTGTAGGAGATTATGATCTCTGTTTTTGTTTTTGTTTTTTTTTTTTGTTTTTTGAACGAATTTCCAAAAGTCACAACCTATCTGTTGAGGAAAATAGTTTATTTTTATTATTAGTTTACTTGTTGTCTTTCATACTATAACTTCAAAACGAGTTAAAAATCCCCATCGTTAGTTCCACAGTTTACTACTTTCCGCAAGAGATCAGCTTAAGTCACTGCAAGGCCCGTTCGAACACTGTTCGAACAGCCTTGCATCGGGAATATCTCCGTACTTCTATGTTTTATTTCATGGGAAGATATTCCTAATATAAGGCTATCATTGTTGTTTGAACGGACTTTGCACTGACTGAATCCCATTTCTTCCCATAAGGCCACGAGGAGCAGGCTTCTTCTTCTCTAGATTTTAGTTCTCTGGCTTGCGTTAGGCACATGGTTTTGTGCAGAATCAAGTCGGTTATATTCCTAGCGAATCTTGATACTAATGAAGTTTTAGCAAAAAATACGTCTTGAACCGCTGAATCGATTGTTTTCCGAAATGGTTCATATGCCGTCGGTTGCAACGGGATTGTCGTAGGACGATGACATTGAGGATTCTAAGGAAAAAAATTTTTCATTCTCGAATATCCTGACACCAAGCGGTGCAAACAATGGAGGTGGATTTTTGGTTCCTAGGTTTTGTGAAGATTCAATATTTCCCCCACTAAACTACAAGGTGGAGCCACCAATATTGCCGATTACAACGAGGGATGTTCATGGTGTGATGTGGGATTTCCGATACATTTACTGTGGGATGCCACGTCAGCATTTGTTGACGAGAGATCCAATGGTTTTTATGAACCAAACTGGATAGCTTTCTGCTAGTGTAAGGCACATTGCAAGGTCAAACGGCAGTATGAACTGTGTTTGGTGGAATTATCATGTTGGATCTGTGACTTTAGAGGGATTTTGAAATGGAGAAGGGTTCTTGAGGAGTAGCGGGGGCAGGGTTCAAGCTGAATCTGTAGTTAAAGATTGCTGAATTAGCGAGAGTAAATAGGTCTTTTGAGGTTATTTATTATCTGAGAGCAGTTCAATGGATTTTGTGGAATCCCTCGGTATAGTGGTCATTTTAGTTATTTCAAAAATGATTCAAACTCGATTATTGAAAAATGAAATGAGTATTTATGTCTTTTTTATGCGCTGACTGACGGTGAATTAACACCAAATACTAGTTTGTTGCAAATTGAACACCAAATACTAGATTATCGCAAATTGAAAGTTCTGGTATTGGATGGCGACATTTTAAAATTCAGAGATAAAATTATCACTCGAGCCAAAGTACAAGGTCCTGATCGAAAATTTTCCCTAATATATTATTAAAAAATTAGTATACCACTATTCCACATAGTAGGACAGAACGTTTGTGTATTCCGGTATCTAGTGTCTGTTTGTGCTTTTCTTTAATTTATTACACTTACACCCATCATCCATCACCGCTGCAGAAACTGTTCCAAGAGAAGAAAAAAAAATAAAGAAAAACGAAACCCTCCAAACCCCGCCATGATTGAGGCAACCACCGCCACCACTTTTATTATTATTGCTCGTCATCATCATAACCCAGTTTCTTCTCTTGGATTTACAGACAGCTCAGCTCAAATGACTTATGACTGACTACAAATAAATGAATTCTACTTTCCTCCTATATTTATCTTCCTTTGTTTTTTTTTTTTCCTCTTCTCTCACTATCTACAATCCCCCAAAGAGATCTCCCGCCGTCCCGCATGGTTATCATCCCCCTCACCCCCACTAATCAAAACTCGAAACATAGATTATTTTTTACAACATTCAGGATTAATCCTCCCTCCCTGCTGTTTTCAAACTTGCAGAGAAACCCGTGTCTTTATCGGCTTTAGCTTCAAGCCCATGCTTTCCGGTGAGAGCAACTCCGGGGAGATACACGATGGGCTCAACGGACTCCTTGGGCTACCACTGAACTGGCACGGCCTGTACAACCCGTATCCCATCAGAAAATACTCCATGGGTATCAACATTGCATGAGGCTGCTCCTCCGTCACCATGGATCCGCATGCCTGAACCTGCAGTGTGTTCCAACCCACCACCACCCTCCTTTTAGTAAGCTTTTAATTTAATTTTCATGTATTCCCCTCCCTCTATGCTTTCCCCCATCTCCTGAATTCTACAATAATGCTTAGACAGAGTAAAAATATGTAAAATACATACCTCAACCAAGGCACTGTATCTTCTATCAAGTTTTGCGGTCATGTGAAGAGCTTCCGAGTGGAATGGAGAATTCTCACCAACAAATATTAGTGTCCGACACTGTAGTTTCTTCAACCCTTCAGTTATGTCACGTCTCCTACCATTTGGAAACATCACAGGTTTATAAGTCTCTCCAACAATCACTCACCCCAAACTATTTTTTTAATGCCATTCATATCATCATTAGTAATAAGGCAATTTAAGACATGAGCTTTACCCATTAATCGCCTGAAGAAACCGCAGAACATTTGTGCTTTGCTTTTGACCAAGCAACTGTACATATAAACCAAAAAAAAAAGTGAATCAAACAGGTGTTCATTCCCCAACTACCTAAACATTAAATTCACAGTTACAGCATCTACATTAACTAAAGAGGAGGGAGGGAAGATCTGGACACTCACACTTCTGCATGCCTGTACAATATCTGATTCCGGGACTTGTCCATCACCACGAACTTCCTGATATAAATGTTCATAAACACAATTCAGAAAGATGACCAAGAATAAAGCATCAAATGTTACATTAGAAGCAGTGGTTACCTTGCTAAAGTAACGCTGAAGCAAGATCTCCTTCAGCACACCACACATCCCATAAAAGTAAAGCAAATTTGACATAACCTGAAAATAACCAACAATTTCAAATATAAGATCAAGCATACAAGACAAGTTATATAAATAATGCTTTGCTTCAGAAGTATGACATAAAAATATACATATAACGAACCTTATTATACAACCATTCTGTCCAAGAGGGAGCCTTGCATAGAGGAGAAACAAGTAGCAAACCGAGTACCCGCTCCCTATATTTCATCTGTAATATCAGGCAGGCAGGAAGAAGCATCTATCAGTAAAAGTTATCAAAGAGGTAACTACTTTGAAGCATCCAAAAACATACAGAAAAGGCTACAAAGACGACATACAGCAAATAGGGTAAGGATGTAAGCACCCGCTGTTACCCCCATGCACATCACTGCACCAAGCCTGGAAAAAAGAATTACAGCCAAGCAATCAGAGACAACTCCAATGGGTGCATATTGCCAATGAGCCATCAGTTTGACTGATACAGCAGATATATTACCATATCCAACATCTTAAGAGAAATCCCCAACAAAATAAAACAGAGAGATAAATAATGCAAGTAGATAACTGAGATTACCCAAAGTAGTCAAGAACTTCTGCAACCTGATCCGCCAAGTCATAAACAGAAGGCACAGGCATATCGGGAGAAATTTCAGCAGCTCCCAACTGCAAGAGCTCTTGAGGAAAGAGCCAGAGAAAAAACATGTGAATAATGGCATTCAATAACAGATATGCATATTATATTCCACAAGAAACTCAATTCGAAGAAAAACAAAACAGGAAAAAATAAAATAAACAACCACGGAAATGGAATATGCATTCAAGTCTACCAAGTTACCGACCTCATGCCCAGGAGGATTGATGTGATAAATGCAGAAGTTGTGAAGCAGCAAAGAAGCAGCTTCTGGACAGAAGAATAATCCTTGGAAACAGGACATATCTGGCCAAAGACATGAAAAAGAAGAGGGAAAACTAAATCACATTTCATGAAATAAATGTAATTAACAAGATTGAAGATGTTAGTGACAGAAATATCCTTGTAATAAAGAAAGCATAAACCACAAAATTGAAGTAACATAGAAGTTACATATTTAATCTTTTTTCTGTGTCCCCTTAAAACCTAGCCACAAGTTCGTTTTATTCACCTATTACCTACTTTTAAAAATCCATTTCTAAACCTAAGGTTTCTGGGAGGAGATAAGTGAATCTCCCAAAGAAAATTACTCAAAGTGGATATGCTGAGCTCATTGTTTAATACAGATTAGTACATATGCCAATTACAAGAAATGCATATGCAACAAAGGGAATGTCTCGTATTAAACACAATGTGAGAGCAAAACAACAATGAATCTGATGTCCACCTAAAACCATTGGACTTACGGTTTAGAGCTAAATCAGGGTAAGTAACAAGTGCCGGTTTGTCCTGATCTCCAAACACAGCAACAGAAACAGAACCATAGCCGGTTTGTACGATATGTTCCTGGAAGCATATTGTCACTTTGTCAGTAAATAATGGTAGATTTTTATAGATTCATTTTGTGAGAAAGAAAAACACATACATATCAATTAGTCTTTCAACTAAATTTTCACAATTTTTACTTAAAAAAGGACTGTTAGAGCAGTAAGAACTGAAAACTAGCAAAGGTTGGCATAGTATTACTTAACCACCTGATACTCAAGTAATATTCCTATTTTATATGAAGGTAAAACTAACTTCAGAGCTTAAAACACCCCCCCCCCAATTAAGTGACCTTCATTCCCTTTAAAAGGCTTAGACCAGATCCCTTTTTGGCAGACCAACTCCATAATCGTTACAGCAGCTTAAATTATTTGTACAAGTATTGCATATAAAGGGATACCTGAATCTAATCATTATGTTCTTTCAGCAAGCTGTAAAGGGAACTTTAAAAGGAAAACACCATATACAATGGAGAAAATATACATTCACATGGAAGCAACTTAACAGCAGGTCACAATTTTCTTCAAGGAACAATAAAAATTAAAACTAAATGAAAAGGGGAAAAGTTTAGCGTATTTGCTTTACTTTTGAAACAAGCAAAAGAATCCGAACAAATACAAGAAGACAGAAGGATCCACTATCTTAAGAAACTCGAGAATTAGAAACGGCTCCCAGAATCAACACTAAAGTTTTTACTCGAGAAGAAAAGCTTCAGTTTCTCTATACAGAAACAGCATCTTATTTAAGCAAGGAATCTGAAGGAGGAAAAAACAGATTTGAAGAACACCCTGAAGGACGAAAGAACCATTCCATGAAATAAAAACCATATTCGTATGGACCATCACGACCAATTGCAAAAAACAGACAAGAATATAACCAACCATCATTTAAAGTTGGTACGGGTTTTACTCCCTCCAGCCCAATTTAAACCTCCGAAGAAAGAAAAAAGGAATACAGCATGAACATCGTTTGAAAGAGCAAAACTGATTGATAGAACAACTGCCATAAATACAGCTACCGACACTGTATCTGGAGTCGACAATGGTAACGAAACCGGGAAAGTATGGATTTACTATCTGAAACAATAACAAGAAATTTGAAATTCCCCGAAAGTAGAAACCAAAGAAAACTAAACTTAGAATCTTTTCCCAACAATGTTAAGGGAATCAAATTATTGCATTACAAACGAGATTTGATAAAAAATCTAAAATGTAATTATGCAGGCAGTCAAAATGTCCATAGAAATCTTCATTGCTTCGTAAAACCTTCCTAACCAACACCAGAATAAAAAAAAATGAAAGACCAGTGCTGTGGCGAAAACCATCAAAGAAACCATAAGCCCAAACCTCCAACATATTGAAAGTTGAAACGTCTATTTTCAATAATGCATATAGAATCCAACTCCAAGAACCCAAGATATAAAGAGAAAACGCATTTTCTTCGAAGGAGAATCCCAAAAACGAAGCTCAAATAATTAGAACAAGCGATCAAAACCAACCAAAATAATAATTGAAAAAAGAAAAAAAAAGCGTCAAGATCTGACTCTTCATTAACCGAAACCTTCCAATTTTCCCCAAAAATGGAAGGAAACAAACGAACACAAAAGAAATTACAATGAAAAAGGAATGATTTTTCCACATCAAAATTATCAAAAAAGAAAAGAAAAAGAAAAATCTTTTTTCTTTTTTTTGTTAGAGAAGAATCTACGACCTTTCCACCTAGAGAGATTGTCTCCATATCAACAGAAACAGAATCGCTGGAATCTGCCATGGCCGCGGCTCTCTATGTCTGAAAGCCGAGACCTTTGTCTCTCTCTCTCTCTCTCGCTGTTCGCTGCTCTCTTTCCGCAGGTGCTTCGAGAAATTCTGGTTTTGGCTTCGACGAATTATATACGAAGCGATTCTCGCTCTCGAATGTCTTAACTGCAACTTAACCACGGTTAATCCCCACCGACGCTTTCTCGTCACTCGTCAGCAGCTGCTCGAACGTCCCGGTCCCGTACTAAACAGGATGTAACCGGATACCTTGGTTATCTTAACCATGGTTAGAGACCGACAGACTGGTGCAAAGGGACGAAATTACTAAAACAACCTCACTCCTGATACAAATCAGGTTTTACAGTTTAATGATCTCAAGGCAGTTGGGTTACCTTTTTTTCCGCGTGTGTACTACAGCCGCGTTGCAGTAGCACTGATGGTCGCAGCAAAAGACAGATGCCTGCTAAAGGCGATCTGACACCCATGATCGGAATTTAAAGAAATGATCATGACGATTTGATCTAATCATTACGGTGGATCATAGCTGTTGGACTTACATTTGAGTTCATCAACGGTGGATGTAGCAAGGTCTAATCGGACGGTTGGAATCGATGAACCACATGTGCTCTGCAACCGTTGTGTAAAAGGAGTGCAAGTTGGTCATCTGCCATTCTGTCTCTTAGCGTATACCATGCACAAAAACCATGGGGCCCAGTTCGCAAGTGGGCATCTACCGTCCCTTTTAGTTTTGCATCATCTGTTGGTGGGGCCGGTGAGAGACAGTGAATCCTCCTGTTAGTCCTTATAATCAACTAATTTAATTTTTTTTTTCACATTGTTTTATTTTTTCGCTTTTATGCTGGTTTGGGAGACAATTTGTGGGTGCATTATTGACTCGAGGATGGATCGTGGATGCCTGGATGGCCTTCTAGGCCCACCGCCGATGTTTATTTCGCCTGTTTACTGGAATAAAAAACCACCGTTTCAACTTTTAAACAGAAAATAAATGATTTTTTAAATACTTGAATTTTCTCATCTCAACATTATTTTTTATTTTTTATTTGAAATTTTGTAGGGCAGATTGCCTGTTCATTTCGACTCTAGATCTCCTATTCACACGAACTCTATACACACTTACCCACATGATATTATCTTCTTGAAAGAATATGAGATATTCTCTATGTATGGCTGCGATCTCATGTGGGTAGGTGTGAATAGAGTCATCGTGAGTAGAAGATTGGGACTCGTTCACTTCAGCCTCCTTTGAATACCTTACCCAAAGCACTTTTAACTCATCTGATTCTTCGACTGAGCTCTCCCAAACTGGTCCCTAGTATTAAGAGCTGACTCGTGTATAGGGAGCTGAGGGATAGGTGGCTTGATGTCATAATGTTAACAGCGTATTAATAACATCATAAATGTTAAATATTAACAGCAGATTCAGATTCTCTGTAATAAAATAATAATAATAATAATATAAAAATGAAAAATTCATTGACTTGTTTAAGGTATTAATGTTCATTGGATTCGTAGCACTTTGTGGAGTTCTCCGGTTTGAAGGACACCAACCTCTTGTCTTGTGTAATTTATCTTTGCTTCAAGTCGAGTTTGCGTAATTTATTTAAAGCATTTAAAACACCTTTGTTACTAACATCAAGTTGGTTACTCTTATAACGTAAATTCCACTCTTTCTATTCAGAGGTCCGAATCTCGGAAGCTTTGACTAAGGAACCAGAAACCAGGAAGAAGCAATTCCTGGTAAGTTGCCATGTCCTCCTCCTTCAGTCAACCCAACAAGTTTGGTTTCGTAAGAGTAAATTCAATAAATTTTAAATCTTAATAGGTTTGGCTTCGCCCCTCAACAGACGAGACCAGAGTGTGATCGAAGCACGTTGCTTTATTTACTGTTGACACCCATATCACCACCTCAGAATCAGAGATATAATTAATGGTGATTGATTGTTCTGCCTCAGCCTCACCTCAACTTCTTCAACCACAACATGAGAGTTACAGAGTGATGCAGTTGATGCTGAGTGATTCATGGAGGCCTTGTAATAAGCTTCAAGCTAGCTGTCGGATTGCCTGCCGCTGCCGCTGCCGCTCCTTCAGAGACTTTGGGTGCACGACTCGTCTAGGGAGCAGGGAACCCACCCACATTAAAATATTGTTGCACGTGAGAACTTTGCTGATGTTGCGGCATGTTGTGAGGGTAGCCCTCACTTCACCTGTCTCTCCAAATAACTAAGGAATGTGATGAGTTGGGAGTTTGGACAACTAAGCAATTTAATGGGTTGGATAGGGGCCGAGTGGTCTAAGGTGCCTGATTTAGGCTCTGGTGCGAAAGCTCAGTTTCAAAGGAGTAAAAATCATGGTTTTCAAAATCCGACCACACCGGTAAGGGTGTCAATGGATCGGTTTTGGATTGAACCCCGTCCAGTCCAAAATCAATTTGAACAGATTGGATGGACCAATAAGACATATTGGATTGGACCAATCCAGTCCAAAATTTTTATTAGATTGGATTGGGCTTGATCCGTCCGTAACAAATTTATATTGGATTGCGTTGGATTAAGTCAATATCTAGTTCATTGATATAAGATAAAGAATATGTGTGTCAATGGACTGGGTTTGGATTGAAATCAATCTAAATCAAAATAAATTTGAACAAATTAGATGGTCCAAACATTGAATTGGACCAGTCCAAACCATTCATGGGATTGAATTGGACATCATCCATTTATAATGGATTTACATTGGAATGGATTGGATTGGACCAAATTCAGTCCAATTGACACCCCAGATGGTCGGATAAAAAAACTAGGAACCAGCTAGGTGATCGGTTCCATTTTATCCCAGAACCGTTATTTCGTCAAAAATTGTTGATTTGGTCAGTAAACCGTTGATCTGGGTAGTCAAACCATTCAATGGTTTTGGCAATTTTTTATTTTCTTTTATTTTTTTTATCAGAACGGGTTATCCGTTCGGTTCAAACGATCGGACTGTTCAACCCGAGAAGGCGGGAACCAAACCCCTGACCAATTCATTGTCTGGTTCGGTTTTAAAAACCTTGGTAAAAATACAAATATATAGATTGCAAAACCTCGTATTTTTGTATATATTTATATTATATATATTTGTATTTATACTCTTTTCAAACTGAGTCTAAAGGGCAAAGGTTAGAATCCCATTAACTGTCAATGAATTAGTGTTTGGATGGTTAATCACTTTTTCAATAGAAGGGTGATTTAGTTGGTATATTAGCTGGTTTGCTCCAATATTAATGCAGATTTGATTCCTTATAAAGTACCCACTTTGGGGAGGGAGGGCTATTAGTGGTGAGTATCACTATGTGTAAAGACAAGTTTAATATTAGGTGTTCGGGTCATGGTTGAGCTGGCCTTAGATGACATGGGGCCACCCAGTCATCCCCGACCACATCAATATGGCCCAACCAGCTCGGTGGCCATGGTCGCGCTACACTATTAGTATAGCCCCCCATCTTATCCTCTCAGCCACATCAGTTACATGTCACGTGGATAAGCACGTCCAAGGATAGGAGGAGGAAAGATGACAACTCCGCTAGGGAATAAAACTCTATCCCAAAGACCTTAGCGGTTAACCTCATCCCGGCAACCCTAAAAGCCCAATCCGATCAGGACATGGACCCTATAAAAAGGTATCTCCCGTTCAAGGTAAGGGATTCCGACTTTTAGCATCCATACTATTACTCTAATAGGACCAGCACCTTTATTGCTCGGCCCGACCATCCACCACCCCCTACTGACTTGAGCGTTGGAGTGCCTATTCGGGGACAATTCCTTGGGCCTCTAACTTCCCTTTCTTGATCACAGGTCTTGAAGCACGACTTCGTCCTTCCACCTTGACTCCACCGTGTTGGTAAGGATTATCTTACTGCCTTCGTCGATTTGTGTACTACCTTGGATTGAACAGTATCATTAAGTTACACAAGTTTAACTAGCAAAAAAGCATAAGGTTCAAGTTAGATTCGACTTAAAAATATTCATCCAAATTCGACTCAACTCAAAGATTTATATATTCAAATTCCATTTGGCTCGAATTCGACAATAGGCAAAAATTCATAAAAAAAAAATTTAAAATTATGTTTACCATATGCATAAATTCAATTAGGTCCACGATCTCCACAACCCAGCTTTATACTATTTAAGTTCAGCTTGATTAATAATCGATATAATATATTGGACTCAAATTCAACTAAAATGGTTCATGAATAATTTGATTTGTGTTCATCCCTAATAAAAAAAGATAATACCATTTCTATAATAATCAACCACACCACAATCATTCATGACTATGAATTGGAAATTTTGGATCCGTACCACGTTTGTGAGGTCCAATGGAGGTTCAGAAAAGATGAGCCGGACTCAGATCCAAGGCTTAGACTGTGGATCCAATTTAGGCCGTGGTGTTGGTGTGAGCTCTGGACCCTGGAGTCTGGAGTAAGCGTCGATATCGATATAATTGCCTAACAATTAGAATACTAATAAAACAGCTTCAAAAGGAAAAAGAAAGAAAACCAACCAAGGAATCCGCTGAAAAACCAAGGAATCAAAGCATTGATGGGTCCAACTCCAACACCATAACACAACAAAATCAGATTTGTCGGGAAGGACAAACCTTCTTGATTTTTTTAATTGGTCAATGTCATAAAAATTTCAGCTTCGGCCTTCTAGTGGTAAATCCCTTTTTACAACCCAGCCCAGTTCACATGTAATTGAATACAATAAGCCCATTAGCCCAGCACTATTTTTGTTTTTTTACAGCCCAATTACTTAAAAAAACTAATCCGTTGAATCAAAGAAAGAGAAAATAATACTAGATTACCCCAACTTGAATATAGATGCAGAGAGCTCCCTCGCAGTGATTGAATGGAAGAAAAAAAAAATCGAATAAATTAAACAGGAATAAAAAGAAATGTAAAACCTAAGGCTCAATTTGAATAGAGTACATAGAATATAAGGTTTTATACTCTACATAATATTTGTATTTATATTGCTTCCACATTGGGCCTTTGGGTAACAATCATCCTTTAAAGATTAGGGTTATGTCTACAAGCAATCTGAGATAGAGAAAGTGAG